TAAATACTCCAATTAATTACTAATCAGGGTTTAGTAAAGTACCTGATAGGTTTTTGAAGCTCCAGGGTTAGTGAGAAGAGTCTCAGCAAACACTTTGCATCCATGAGCCGACATTATTCCGGTAAGATTCATCTCCGCCGGAGCTGGAGTCGGAGCCGCCGCAGTCTCCGACGGTAAAACTCTACTGATCTGAATAATGGAGATGTTATACGGAACTTCTTCAATAGATTTAACAAAGAAAGAAGACAGATCTCCACCGTCAGGACCAAACCCAACTTTACCACCTCTCAGATCCGTTATATTGACGAACCCGGTGGTTCCAGGAGCAGCTCCGGTGGCTTGAAACAGAGTAGCGGCGAGAGCAGAGCCGTCACGGATCTGGTGGAGTTTTTTAGCTCCGAAGTAATCAAGAAGGACGTGGAGAGAAAGAATGTTTTTGAGAGTTGAGATTGTGTAGCCTTTTGAGGTTAATGCTGACATGGCGGCGTTATCGACGGCGCAAACGGTTATGGTTGTTCTCCGGTTGATTTCGTCGGCGAGGTGAGTTTGTGTTAGGAAATGGCTGAAGGAGGAGAATGATGGGTGGTTTGCTAGGAGGCGCGTGACGTTATGCGCGTGGGTTTGGATTGTGAGGAGAAGGAGAATGTTGAAGATGGAGATGAGAGAACTCATCTTCTTCGCCATTGTTGGAGTGAAGAGTTGGTTTGAGGATTTCTTGAGAGAGAGTGAGTGAAGAAGAGCTTAAAGTGAGGAGAAGAAGAAGAAGAAGATGGTGTTTAGTTAAATGGACGTGGATTCTGCTTGAAATTACGATTGTGCCATTGTGTACTTATTTATTGTGATGACATTATTTATAATGTATTTATTGCGAATTTAAGCTTATGGGCTTTGCAAGTTTTGTGACCATGTCATATGGCTCTTCTTTCCAGCCTTCCACGGTTCCACCTACTATTTTAGAAATTATTAAATTATTGTAAAACTTTTTAGAGAAACGGAATTTATATGTACGAGTAGAGTAGGAACTAGGAATTTATATATGTAGACGAAATTTAATATTAGATGAAACATGTGAGACATGCTAAAGGAATTGATATATATGTATTATTGTGGTCTGGTTTCGGCATTAGCCATCAAGAGGAAACCATTATTTGACCACATCACCGCTACAAATGTTTGATTGCCCATACTAGACCTTATTGTTTCGGATTGGATGTTACCCCTATAATATTGGTACTTGGTAGACTAAATGTAGATCAAAAATTGATTGATCAAAAAAAAAAAAAAATGATTGAAGTTTAAAAAAGTATGGGGGAAATTAAAAAAAAAAGAAAAGAAATTGCGACAACGCATTTGAGCCTAAAGCAAATTACAACAGCCTTACGAAATTCATTTGTAGCACATGTCCCCAACTAATCTTAACCTACACATCTTAAGAGTGTTTAAATGTCAAATTTATTTTGGCTTAACAATATTTATGATTTGTTCTCCTTTTATTGAGAAATTTCTAGTGTATCACAACTATCATGTGATTTGTATGTGCAGCTAAAAATAGAAATACCTTTTTAGTCTAAAAAACATACAAAATTTTATAATCATTATATATCTCATTATATAATCAAACATGTCACGTGGGAATTGGAAGAGTATCTCTTCTTCATAAATTAAGGTATCAGAAACTCATTACTCCATTATTAATAAAAATTTAAGCTCATTTCACAAGCATAGAATCTTCTTCTTCGTTTATATCATTCAGAAATCAAATCTTTATTTGTTCCTTAAAGTTTGATTAGACCGGAATCTTCGAGTCTTTAACTGCAGCCATGTCCATCATGTCAGTGTCGGTGACAAAACATAAGTTAAAGTGCATGAATGCGTGATCGTTACGGTCAGCTAAAACCGGTGTTGAAGCAATTTCGTGGGTTATATGCATAATTTCAGGGGCACTTGTGTAATTAATGTTGCCTGAAACTGGTGACGCAGGACCCAAAGTATCGATTAACCACGTGGATGGTCGAGATCTCTTATCATATTCTCCACCGACAATCGGTCGGTCCGTGTACTAGCTGGACTGAGTAAAACTAGTTATCTGAAGATCTGACGCAACGGTTTGTTGTCACTTGTCACTTAAGATACGATGGTGGGCTGTTTTATAATTAAACAACAGTAATCACCAAGCTTCTCAATTCTTGAGATTCTGAATATATATGTTCAAATTTATAATATTTCATACAAATAATATCATGTGAAATCCGACCACATATCATATAGTAACAATGCTAAAATCCTTTGTATCTCATTGATCCTAATATGTGTCTTATCATTAGCAACAAACACATGGACTCCTTCTCCTTTAATCTGAATCCAACTACATCCAGGCTTTTTCTTCAAACCTTTAGCTTTCATTATCTCTCTCATCTTCACAACTTCATCCCAACTTCCTTCAACTGCATAAGCATTCGATATCGTCACGTAATTACCAGAGTTGTCAGGCTCGGATTCGATCAATTGCCTTGATAAGTAGTCTACAAGCTCACTCTTAGGCTGTTTGTTGCAAGAAGCAACCAAAGATTGGATCATTCGTGCATCTGGCTTGTATGGCATTTCCTCGATTAACCTTAAGGCCTTGTCTGTTTGTCCAGCTGATGCAAGGAGATCTACCATCAGTCCATAATGTTCCAAGCATGGATTCATGCCATGTTTTGAAACCATCTCAGTGACAATCTCGGTAGCTTGGTTATTATCCCCTGCGTGGTTACATGCTGATAAGACATTTGTGATTGTTATGTTGTCTGGTTTAAGACCCACGCCTTCTAAGCTTCTGTATAGAGCGATTGCTTCTTTTAAGTTACCATATAACGCATACGCCGAGATCATGGCATTGTAGAGAGGCAACTCGCTGTATAACTTACTTCCAAAAACCTTCTCTGCTTTGTTTATATCTCCACATTTAGCATACATGTCAACCAAAGAAGTTTCAATAGAGACCGAAGAGGAATGCTGTAGATTTCTTATGATGTAACCGTGGATTGATCTTCCGAAATGCAGTGATGCTAGATTTGCGCAAGCAGAGAGAGCTACAGTGATGCTAACGGCATTTGGTCTCAGCCCGGATTCTTGCATCTTTCTGAGAAAAAGAATTGCCTCCTCACTGCAACCATTTTGAACCATACCATTCATCATAGTCGTCCATGAGATAAGATTTGGAAATATCCCTGAGGATTGCATCTGCAAGAACATATCCTTGGCCTCATCTACCTCACCATTCCTTAGAAGACTTAGAATGATCAAATTCCATGTTATCACATTTGGTGGTACACCTTCTAGCTGCATCCCATAGAACAATCTCAAGCCCTCTCCACTAAGACCAGACTCTGCATAGGCTGCAAGTAACGTATTCCACAGAATCAAGTCTTTCTCTGCTGTGGAATCAAACACTTTCTTAGCATCAACGATGCTACCACACTTGGCATACATATCCATCACAGTGCTGGCTAAAACGATATCAGATTCAAAACTGTGTCTAATGCAATAACACTGCACCTCTTTCCCAAGTTTTAGATTCTGCGTACGTGCAGCTGCCGACATTAACGTCGCTAAAGTGACACAATCATATTTCAGCTTCTCTAGTCTCATTAATTGACACATGTATATAGCATTTTCAACTAGCCCTTGTTGAACATACCCGGAGATAATCAGATTCCATGTTACCACATCTTTATCAATCATCCGATCAAAAACCATCTCAGCATACTCTATCAAACCAACTTTGCAATAGAAATTCAATAAAGATGTCCCCAGGATATTATCCAGCTCCAGTCCATTTACAATAGCAATGGCATGAGACTGTTTCCCCTCTTCAACCCCACCCATATTAGCCGAAGCAGATAAACAAGTCGAGACAGTGACACGAGTAGGCTCAACACCTTCCTTCCTCATATCAGAAAAAAGCCGAATCGCTTCCTCATTCATCCCATTTTGTACATAACCAACCATCAACGCATTCCAAGCAACAACATTTCTCTCAGGAATTTCATCGAACACCTTCCTTGCATCATCCAAAACACCACATTTCCCATACATATCAGCTAAACTACTAGCCACAAACACACAGTCTTCAAGACCAGCTTTTACCACATACCCATGAACACCTCTCCCAAATCTACTCCATTGCAACGCACCACAAGCCTTACAAACATTCGGAACCACAAAATTATCAGGAAAAATCTCATTTTCAAGCATCTCAACAAAACCCATTAAAGCTCCTTCACATAACCCAATCCTACATTTCACACCAATAATAGCTGCCCAAGAGAAAACATTACGAACCCTCAATTTCGTGAAAAGAACTTCAGCTATATCCAAAGCATCGCACTTTGCGTAGAATATCACCAATTTAGTCTCGATGTACTCGTTCTTAGCGTAGAAATCACCATTCTTCAAAATCCGAGCATGAATTTGCTTCCCTGTACATAAATCTCTCTCGTAAACGCATCCTTGGAGGATTTCACCGTATATCTCTGGACCAATGCGTAGGTTTCTGAAATCCATCTCTGTAACTAAACTCAGAGCTTCTTTGATCTCACCGTTCTTACATAGAGACGAAACGCGGTGAAAGTAAGATGTGGAAGAAGGATTAAGAGCTTGGTCATCGTGCTGTTTAGAAGAAGGTTTTGATGATACTGAAAATGGAAGATTAATCGGGATAGTGTTGAAAGGAAGAGAAGCCATTCATGCCTCTGATAAACGTCTCTGAAGATAAAACAGAGTCTTTTCGAATCCTCGTATTTAAAATTATTTTTTTATTATCTCTCTCGACTTATTTTCATCAAAAAATATCCACCGTTGATTAGTCTTGTGGCAAATACTGACACGTGGACGGTTGTGATCTGTTTCTCGACACATATTTGAACCGATCGTTGCATGGGTTGGTTTACTGTTTGCGATTCTTATGTGTTCCAACCGGTTTTCAATTTGATTTTGGTTTAGTTAAACAATAACGATGAAAATATAAAGTTCATTTTATTAGAATTTACTTTGGAATTATAAACAAAAATTTTGAGCTAATAACAGAAGAAGGTGACTTTTTGATAAGACTTTGATATTTATCTAAAAACTATGTATGCCCTAAAAGAGAATAAAAGCATTAGCTAACACAAGCATCAAGAGATGTACGGGCATGGAAGAGGAATAGTAAGCCACCGCTGAACCGGTTGTACCACCTCCGGCTTCTCCTCCTCCTTGACCGCCACCGCCTTGTCCCCCTCCGCCGATAGCACCGTAAGGATAAGGAGGAGTATAAAAGTAAGGATACGGAGGAGAATACATCGTCGAAGGTGGTGGTTGGTTGCAACAGCCTGTCGTCGGAACAGGAGGGCAGCGAGAACGTGGCGGTGAAGGTGGTGAAGACTGTGAAGACGGTGGAGGCGGTGAAGACTGTGGAGACTGTGGAGACGGTGGAGGAGGATTGCCATATGGAGAATAGTCTGTAGAGGAAGGCGGTTGAGGCGGTTGGTTACATGGGTAAGGAGTGCAAAAACCAGTGTTTGAATCCAAAGCTGAGTTTAGATTGACACAGTTGAGAAATGATAGATAAAAGGTAATAAGAGGAATAGAGAGAGAAGCTCCAAGAGACAACATGATGAGTTACAGAAAATGATGAGTGTTTTGGTCTTTGGTTTTGAGATTTATAATAAAAATACATGAATTTTTTTCCTGGATTTCGTATTATCTGCCGCATGGCATAACACATGTCGTGAGTGTTGGAGAATTTCTGAAGAGAACGTTTGTGTCTTTTAACGGATGTAGACAAAGTTTTGTCATGTAATGACAAATTAAAACGCATTTGTATTACTTTGGAATTTATATAGCGGTACGCCGGTACCATATATATATACTCATCATCAATAGATGTCGTAAATTAAAGAAGATGTGTTGTGGCCTGTGGGTAGCAATAGCATGACTGCATGAGTTTCAAGATGAGTGTGAAAATTATGTCTGAATCTTTTGTAATGGGAAAGATGAAGAACTATGGATTGTTTAAGTAATCAAATAAAGAAGACCGAACTTTACGCTGATGAGAGTTCTTATAGTTTTGTCTTTTCCATCTGTTGACAAACTTGGGCTATATGAATTGAATATAGTTTTTTGTTAGCTTGATTCAAAAGACGAGTCTTTGGTAAACCTCTCTAATGGCTTGAAACCACATATTATATAGTAATTGGCTGATGTATATTAGATAGACCTCAACTCCAATATTCCAAAGAATGATGTTGTTAAATTTAATTCATGTTAAATATAATATGTCGAAGTTTTAGCTAGTTGGGTACTCAATATTTAGGAACGTGCACTTGAGAAAATGAAAATAATAGAAGCACTCGAAGTCAAGATGTTTACATCATCGCAATTCGCAGGCATTAAATGGCAATATGGAAAGAAAAAAAACTCATTCCCATCATTTCATTTATTTACCTTTACTAAATTTGTAGAAAAACATCCCAACACATTTGATTTCACCAATAAATGGGTTTATCTGGATCAATCCATCATCATCATCCTAGTTTGACATTTTTTACAGTTAGGTATAAAATAGTCTTTTATATACATAATGATATATACATCTATTTCTAGAAAATTGATTTTCTAGAGATTTCACATTATTTAAGAAACAATTATTGTTTAATTATATATTTTTATTAATTTTTCTAATAAACTATGAACCAATAGTAATCTGAAATAGTTAATCATTACGTCTTGAAATCTACGATTTATTAAAATCAATTTATTAAAAATAAAAAAAATCTAGAAAATCAATCTTTGTGGAACAAACTCAAAACACTAAAACATCAAACTTCAAGGAACAAAGAGACTAATAAATTGCATTCACACCAAACCAAATTCATCAAAATCTCAAACCAATCGACTTGTAAAATATGTATCAAACTGATTTTGACCGGTTAGTTTCAAACCGGCTGGATAGAACAAGATTTTAATCTATTATAAGCTCTATGGTATGAGCATGCATCAGGGCCGTCAACATAAGATCAATGTAAATCAAGACAAACCCTATCATGGTTCCAATGGGTTGACATTTACCTATACATATTTGATATTTCAAATATTAATAAATTTACCTATTTTATAACTCAAAGTATTTTGGTTTAACCAGTTAGATGAATGTTGGCTACAATGATTCAATGATACCGAACCGGCCGGGTTTGTATGTGGAAATTACTACTGCATGTGAACTTGACACAAATATTATCAAAGTCTAATTCTGAGACTAAAGAGATTATGGATCACAGATTCAGAATTTCCACATATATAAAAAAAAGAGTTAATAGATAAATGATATATATTAAAAAAAATTGGTGAAATGTAAAAAAGTTGCAATGATATTATCTATCAACTTAATTTAGATATGCTATTTTAGGTTAATGTATTTATTGTTTTTCTTAGATAAAATTTTGTGTTTAGCCAAAATAAATTTGAGAAATATCATAACATAAACATACCATATAAAATAAGTTTTGGATGAATCCAAGTACACCCTAATTTGGTTTATGAAGGATTCATAATAGTTTAGTAAAAGCTAGCAATACTTTTAAAATCTAAAATCTCTGATATTTTTAGTTTTTGATGGTAATAATAATAATAATAATAATAATAATAATAAAGAAGGTATTTCTGAGAAATGTCCAAAAAATATATTCCAGATTACATTAAAAAAAAATGAATAAATTGATTCTTCATAAATAAAAGTCACTGTCCAAGTCTAAAAGAGATCCCTCTCTGCTTTTTTTTTATACATCGAGAGAGGCAGAGAAGGTGTTTCCTCTTGTCCAAAAGAGAAGACAAATCTAAATGTCTTTAGGTTACGCTGAGAAATTATCCTTCATTGAAGATGTTGGTCAGGTCGGCATGGCCGAATTCTTCGACCCATCTCATGTTCTACAATGCAAGGTTTCTATTTTTTGTTTCTTTCTCCTCCTGGGTTTTTGTGGGTTTACTCAGTTTTGCTCCAGATTCTATGTAATTTCACGTTGCGTTGATTATTGTCTCTGGATTGATTGCATAACAGTTTAGATTCTTGAGTTGATCCTCGTAGTGTTTGATTTTGGATCGTACGCTCATATTACGGCTTTAAGCTTTGATATTTGTCTTTTGGATGGTTATTGTAAATTTGGAGAATGATTAGTACTTGATGATTCCTATAATATAGTTTAGGTTTTTTTTACACTACTTGTTTTTGGACTTGCATTGTGTTAATTAAAGAATGGAATTGTGTCATAACTAAGATGAGCTAGGTCCCTTCAGTCCTTGTGGGTCTCTTAAAAAAATATAATCCATAGACAATGTGATTGATTTTTATTTACTGATCATGTGAAAAGCCGTTGTTTGAAATCAGATTTGTGTGGAGAATTTGACTGTTTGTGTATTGAAACTACCTCTTTTTGTTTATCATTGTTTTAGCTAAAGGATTTGGTTGCTAGATCTTGGCGTGTTTCTTGTCTATTTCACTATCGTGCTAACTGCTGGTGTTTGTCTTTGGAACTGCAGATTGAAGAACTTGCTAAGTTGATTCAAAAGGTTTTGATATGTGTCCTCTTTCATATTCTTATTGTTGCTTTTGCATATATTTTTTTGATTTAAGTATCTTCAAGAAAGCTGGTTTATGTTTGCAGAGTAAGCATCTAGTAGTCTTTACTGGTGCAGGCATTTCAACTTCTTGTGGTATTCCTGATTTCCGAGGCCCCAAAGGAATTTGGACGCTACAGGTGAGAGCCAAGGCCTTTTAATCCTCTTTTCTTTGACTATTTGCTCGTGTGATTTGATTTTGAATTCTGTCATTGATTGATCTGTTATCATCATTGCTTGACTTGATTGCATTGTCTTGGATTATGTGGCTAATATACTTGTCTTTTTTAAAGCATCATCTCCTGAAAGTTAACATTTGTGATCCGTGGTTGTTGGTTTCAGCGCGAGGGCAAAGATTTACCCAAAGCATCTCTGCCATTTCATCGTGCAATGCCGAGCATGACTCATATGGCTTTGGTTGAATTAGAAAGAGCTGGCATTTTAAAATTTGTTATCAGTCAGGTAATCCTCTTTCCCCTACAGAATTACTTTTTAACTAGTGTGCTTGATCACTGATAGGATCTTGTCTTCATGTTTACATTTCTAAATTTCATTTATATGCTGCTTCATAAATGATCAGAATGTGGATGGCTTACATCTTCGATCTGGAATACCAAGAGAGAAGCTTTCGGAACTGCATGGAGACTCTTTTATGGAGATGTGCCCATCATGTGGAGCAGAGTAAGGCAAAAATATATGTTATTGCCTCTCTCTTATACTGTGAACCCTTGTGATGAGAGCTGTCATTATCTATCCCTATATTGCACCATATATGGTGACAAACCTTTCTTGAACTTTTGGAGGTACCTGCGTGATTTCGAGGTGGAAACTATTGGATTAAAGGAGACATCAAGAAGGTGTTCTGTTGAAAAGTGTGGAGCTAAACTTAAAGATACGGTCCTAGACTGGGAGGTGAATTTTCTTTGCTGTTCTAATACGAAAGCGACAAAGCTTTGCCTTTGAATCAGATTCCACCGGTCTTACCTTTTTTTTTTCTTAATGTAGTTTAAGAATCTAAGAACCGTGAAAATGAAATCTCTGTATGTCTCTTATGCTGTTTTCTTTCCATGGCAGGATGCTTTGCCTCCGAAAGAGATTGATCCAGCAGAGAAGCACTGCAAAATGGCTGATCTTGTACTTTGTTTGGGTACCAGGTAATCAATGACTCACAAGAACTCTCGTGTTTGATCATTTAGCCAAACAGTTGTTCTCTGGAGTATCTTGCATTTGGATTGTTTCATGAGCCTAAAATCTTTGTGCAGTTTGCAGATAACCCCTGCTTGCAATTTGCCTCTCAAGTGTCTCAGAGGTGGAGGCAAGATCGTGATAGTCAATCTTCAGGTAAATTGTCTCTTTTGTTCATCTACATGAGTTTCTATACGTGTCTTATATAAAAATATTCTATGAATTATGGGTTCTCTGAAAATCACACTCTCTTTGCTACAAGCCTTGATATTTTCTTTGGAATATATATAGAAGAATGTGTTTTTTGGACTAAGTAGTTTTTCGTCGGAAATTGTTGACTGATTATATTCGCCCTTTCAGAAAACCCCGAAGGACAAGAAAGCAAATGTTGTAATTCATGGTCTTGTTGATAAGGTAAGATTTAACTTTTGTTGTTTCTACATTTATGGACAAAACCAAATGGAGTCTCATAGATTTAAGTAGTGATGTTTAACAGATTACCTTCAGCACTGCGTCCAAATGGAGTCTCATAGTTTTTTTTTCCTTCATTATGTGTCTGATGTGCAGGTGGTTGCAGGGGTCATGGAATCTCTCAACATGAAGATTCCTCCATATGTTAGAATCGATCTTTTCCAGATAATCCTAACTCAATCCTTAAGCGGAGGTAGATTTTCCTGAACCTTTCATGGTTTTTATGCAACATATATGTCTTGTCCTGCACTGTAATTGGGTGTGTCATACCTTTTTTTTTTTTTGATGTTAGGCTTCATAGCTCTCACTCACATGTTTTTCATTTCTGTTACAGATCAGAGGTTTATTAATTGGACCCTGC